AAGTACATGATTAATAGCTACCGGTAGAGGGACTGTTAGCAACCAGTCGGGGTAAGTGGCGGGTATGTCATACCTTAAAGTAACCCGGCCATATGCGCAGCCCGCGGTTACGCCTTCCCCTTTCCCTTCCCTTTCGGTTGAGACTTCTTTGGCTGTGAACCCCCGCCCTTGGTTGCGTCTGGTACTCGTCGACGCCGCGGGATATATTTGGGGGGCGGAGGGTGCTCCGACCCGGTCTTCACTGCCTTGCTCGTCGACGAGCCCTTCTTCCGGGATCCACCAGCCTGTGCTGCAGCCTGTGGAATTTAATGAGCTACGAATGGATGGAATAGGAAGAGACGTTACCGCGCTTTTCCTCCCAGGCTTTCGTTTGTCGACTTGTTTAAGGCGCGCGGCGACTGCACGATCGACCATCGATTGGATCGATGGTCCAGCGCGAGTGGCATCCGCCATCTCGACGTCCGCGGCCTTTTTTAATGCCTTCTTTCGGTCCTCTTTTGCCGACGCAGTGTACGACGTCATTTCAACAATAGAAATGACGCGGAAGGCGTATACCACCACGTCGGCCAGCAAATTCTTGCACTCCTGGACCTTCTGAGTGTCCTGCACCCAGGTCAACCCCTCCACCTTGTTGTCCGCGGAGAACTTAATGTTCGCAACCATGCGATCTTTAAGTACACGCTGACCACGGTCGATCACAACCGGCGAGAGCCGGCTGTACAGTTCCTGGGGGGTCAATGCTCTCTCCAAGAAGAGCACGTCGTCCCGCTTCGCCTTTATAGCAGACGAGAGCAGTCCGTCTAGGTACGCTTTATGGGCGTCTAGAAGTGCTTGCCTTTGGGCGGACCCATCGGCACTTGAACCGAATTCAGTAGTCATCTGAATTTCGGGCGCCTGCCGAAACAGGTGCGAGGGCATAGTACCGGCCTTTTGATGGGCCTCCCACTTGGCGAGAGTGGTGCGCGCCGAGCACAGCTTGTTAGCCGTGCTGGCAACCCCCCGAAGAGGAGTGCGCAGTACTTCGACAAAGTCCCCTGGGACTAAATCGATCAGCGCGTCGACGGTTCTGGCCCCCTGGAGGGCTGAGCGCCGTGCGACTGCTGCGTGGTCTGATGCAATATCAAGACCGCCGGCGGTAGAGAACACGTCGGGGATGGGGGAGAGGGCGCGGGCTACTACTGAGGCTATGGAGGACCAAGCGTAAGTCCTTCGCCGTCGCAGAGCAGGCGGCACGGTTGGACTGGTTAGTACTCCGATGCATTAAGACACACCGTCTGTCCACAGAAGGTTGGCACACACCATCTTGCTAGGGAGTGGGCTGGGGTTTACGCCCAGGACCCCAACACGACCCATGCGAGTTTTGTGGTGGACTCATTCCGCCGGCACGACTTCTCACCACTCAGGGAAGAGAGCCCTGGTGTGGCTACGTCCGTCAATACCTCGTCTCGCGATGTGCGCAACTGCCCGTATGGTGGTTACCAACTCCGTGGCGAGCATGATCCCGCCGGCCCGAATTACCGCGGCACGGCGAAACACCATGTCGGAACACCCGACGGGGGACGACCCGCCCAGGTGGAGTGGCACCTGCCTCCGGTATGGTCCGCCTACAAAGCTGCGTCAGTATATCTGGCCAGTCGGTCAAGTACTCGGTAGGCTCTCGCCGACTCCCTTGATGCGGTGGGGTAGCCGGTTTACAACCTGCCCACACCTTTCGGTGCTATATAGACTATATCTTAAGCATGTATCGTCGAACGGTGGCCTCATAAGGGTCGAACCTGTCCTCAACATGCCCACTGCCACTTAGTCGTTGGACTCCTCCCATGGTACCGTTACAGAGCCGGTCGGTAGTGCCGCTCCGCAGAGACGGGTGCCGGGGTCGGATGGATGGTACTTTAGGGGTTAGCTGCGGATTACCCATTTCGACTTTCGTCTCATCTGCACGATTATTACCCGGACCGGAAAGTCCTTCAACGGCGCCTTTCGGCTAAGGACGGGCAAAGCGGCCGAACCGGTCTATGCACATTGTCCCCATTCCGCCTTGGTACGTGTCAGCTTTAGGGCTTCCCCGAACAATTCGACAGTGTCGCCATCACCGCATATGACTAGCTACGTATTTACCTTCTACGTAACTCGCTCCACGTCGCGCAGCCCGTTACCGCAACAGCGGCGCTGTCGACACAACGACTATCTCCTTGAGAGACAGTCGTAGGACGAGGGGGTCCTAAATCCCCGAGTCAGCGCATGTTTTAACGACTCGATGCGTAGATAGGGTTAGGGCGCCGCGCCTATCCCTTCGCCACAAAGTGGCGTTGGGATAGCGCGGTTAGTGCATACCAAGAATCACTCACGTTTGGTAAACTTGAGGATTGCGTTCTTGCTAGTAAAGCGAAGCTGGGTCCAACAGAGGGATGGGGTTTCCATCTCTCACCCTGTTTCGCTTTTATAGCTCTTCAGGGACCTGCTTCATAAGCCGATGACTCGGCTGAGAGGATTTGGCGGTCCAATCAGCT